TACATCAGTTGAACTGATTCTTTAATGAACTATTAAGAACAGAAAGAATTAACAGAATTTGCATGAACTCATTGCCATGCTGAGTAACTTAGGCTGCTGATGGATTTTATTCTATTCAAAATGTAGTTTACGATGCATTCAAAATGAAAAGTGCCGATATTGTCTCTCCTCCTGCTGAATCCTGGTTGGAGTAGTTCAGGAGACATTTTTCTCCCACTCTCTGCAAAATCATTTAGTCTGACATGTTTACCTTCACACACAAATGACAAAAACACATTTCAATCCACTGAAAAAATCAAACATTTACTGAGTAAAATCAGCAAAATCCATATTTTATTAGATGGTTAATTTGCTAACTGACGGAAGACAAGCTTTGGCCAAGTATTTTCACAAGAAGTACTAAATCTCTTGCTATAAATCTCTAGTTATATAGTTCTACCACAGCCAAACAGTTTTTGGTAGAATTTTCCTGTGATACATAAACCTGAAAATTAAGTGACACAACAACATTTAAAACTTCTGTTATCATTAAAGCAAAATATAATACAGTATAATTTCTCAGTGGTATATTTAAATGTACTGCAAAATGTATACAAAGTCAGTCCAAGATCAATAAAGAATCAGTTCTGCTTTTTGGACTTTTCCCTTCTCAAAGATACAGGTTTTGTAGAAGACCAAAGTAATTTAGGACTTGTCTGTATGTATCCCCATTAAAAGGCAGTGTGTGATAAAAATAACATGATTAAAAATAATGAACATGTGATGCAAACATTTTGCATTTTCAATAAAAAAATAGAAACTAACCAACAACTAAACACATCTTAGAAGCGGAACACTGAAGCCTGCCATTATATAGCTATGTTTCTCATTCTTTTCTTTGAAGATTACCAGCACACAGAAAATAAGTGAATTTTATCAAAATACAGCACATTTCTACTAATATATCCAAAAAATCGTTTTCTATGTAAATATTACTGAAAATCAAATAAAAAGAATTAAAATATACAAAGAGTTGTTAAAGGGTTTCAATTAAAATTATTAAAACTATACACAGTACAATAAGCAATAGTTAACATCTTTGAAAGAAGTGCAATAATATTGGCGTTAACTTACTAAAAAAGTACTGCCTGTTTATTACTGCTAGCTATGTATAATTTCTCTCTCTTCCAGCTCATTGTCCCAAAAGTAAAGGAAGCTGGTCTTTTCGCTAGCTTTATTAAAAGCATTTACTTTTTGGGTTGAAAAAAAGCGCTTATACCTGTCTCAAACTACCAACTTTTATGTAATTAAAAATGAACTGCAATAACTGAATATTGCTCCAATGATAGGCTAATCATTAGCCCTGCTTAAAAACAGTTTTCGGTCTTCTGTGGCACTTTTCCCTGGTCCATAACAACCGTATGAATTATCACTGCAGGTTACGCAGTCTCTATTCAATTACAAAGGAGAAAGATAATGTTTCTGGTAAACAAAATTAATAAAAGCATAACTGAACATTTTATACAGTAATAAGGAACAAAGGCAGCCTGTGGTAAATCACTATTACATTAATGTAGTTAGAAACCCTTTAATGACTCTGAAGTGTCTAGTTCACATTTAATGTTACCTGTAGGAACAGCCCTTTAAGAAACCTCATTACCAATTGGTGGGTTGTAAGTACACCCTCCCTTTGCTCTCCATCTCACCACAGCAATTCTCCACCACTGCTCAAAGTTTCAAAACTTGCTTTGGTTGCCTAGCTCCATGCGTATGGTTTCCTTCTTGATTAACAAAGCAATGCAAAGGCCAAACAAAATCAAGATGTCTTTCATAATCCTTCCTGCACCATTTGCTTTTGTGTCTGTTTAAATATATATTACAGGCAACAACCTTAAAAACTGGCCATTTCAGTTTCATTTTTAAAATCTGTACGCTTAAAATGGAGTTCTTTTTATAAAGATAAAAGTATCGCCATTTCCACAAAATTCAGGATTTCTATCGCAGAGAAAAATCTCTGGGCACATTTCCACAGTACTGTTGAAAAAATTATGTATGCAAGAAAACCCAACTAAACATAAATCACATGTGGCAAATGAATATTGAATGACTACATTAAGAACAAATCCTGTATAATATCACAAATTTGTAGTTATAGTCTTCCTAAAAAAACACCATAAGCTTTTATTGCATTTTCTATTGGTAGATGTACACTCCAGAACTAAACACTTTTTCTTCTTTCCTGATTCCAGATTTAGATAGCAGATAATTATTCCACCTGACCTTTATTCTGTCCAGTCAGCACCACCTTCCATCTACCCATTCATCTATACAATGTGCACATAGCAAAGCCAACACTTCATATCCCCATTCATATCTACAGAAGTGGTTCAGCGTAACACATTAATATGTGGTGAATCAAAATAAAGGCAATAAACAGCTACAGGATAGACAGCCCTGCCATCTGTCCATTGGCTACGACTGAGGCTTCGCAAAGCCTTGCACGAAGTTTAGTAATGTGTATGAATTATCAAAAAATAAACCTACCATCTGTACAAAAAAACAACACAGGTTTGTTCTTGGAGGAGTGATCCTTAGATTGCTATAATGCTTAAAAACAAGTTTATTCACCATACGCATTTCTAAAATTATTTCTTGTACGTTCTATACAGTGGTTTTGCCCTCTTTAACCACAAGTTCATTATTTCCTATACAAATTTTGATCATAATTCTTTTTGAGTTCTTTTAATGTATAAAAATATGCAAAATATTGTTTCTCCTAAGACCTTCAATGAATCCTGTTGGCTTATCCCCACAATCAAAGGTACTTATGAAGAAACTTCTCGTACAATGATGAGTTCCACAGCATTCTGAAAAGTCTTTAGCAAAGATACAGCTTGTCCATGATCAATATTGATGAAGCTGTAGCCATTAGCCTAAAAGGAAATATTTAAAACTCAAAATGACAGTCTCATATGCCATGTTAGTGAAACACAACTCATATTTCATGTTAGTTTTTTTAAGCTTTAAGGTTTAAAATAACCAAAGTCTATATGAATGCAGAGAATAAAACACAGCAGATTTGCAGATTAGTTGAACATGTATCTGTATGCTATGCTACAAAAAAAACTGAACTACTGTGTCAGCCTTGGAAGAATTTTGCAAATAACCAAAGGAAAACCAAACTTTGAACCATTAACATCACACATCTAATTTATCAGTCTTAATACAGACACACCAGAAAACCCCTAAACCTTGTACAAATCACCTTGTACAAACCTTGTACAAATTTTAAGTAACAGAATATTAGAAATGGCATTTGTGATAAATTAAAACTATTGAAGCCTGTAACAAAAAACATTAATAGCACAGGGAGCCATTTTAGGGTGTGAGACCTCTGGAGGTCATCCCCAACTTGAATGTGCCTATGACTCTAAAAAACATTGTTACTGTTGGACAAGTTTGTCTTGGCAAACACAGGCAGGCCTAAGCAGCCTTAAAAAACAGGGAAAACGTGGTTATGGTTCAACTTCTCCAAGTACTACTGCAAATTCACATTGAGTTTGGGCAGCAAAATCTTGCAGAAGGACAGATTCATCCAGTTTAACTGTTATTGCTTCCAGCTGTGCATCCCACCTTTCTCCCTGAGCTGCTTATGTGGTGACAGAGTGAACTTGCCACGCTCTCTGTGCCTTAGCTGTGCCACTTTGAAAGCTGCAGTTCCTTATCCCATCACCGAACACCTGCAGTTGTTACCAGCTGAATCCTTGGTTATTAAACCAGTGGTTTTCAAATCTTTCTAGGGTTGCAGAGGAAGATTTAAATACACTGTTCAGAAAGCAAAAGCAGCAACAACCGTCCCAAATCATCATTTGTACAGAATGTCCTAGCCCTAGTCTTAAGTCTTACTTGCAATTATCAAGTCGCTAGTTGTGTAGAATGTTTTATTAGACATATGGATTAGACATGCACTGTAATATGCATGCCTATTGCATGTTTTACAGAGAACATTGCAAAATCAAGCATAAGCAAAGGCATTTTGGAAGAGATGATATTCAGTAAAAAAACCCACAAATTGTCTGAGTGGTAACAAGACAGAGTGGGGCTGTCATTACATCATTACTGGAATTATCACAGGTATAAAGAACATGCTGTTACACAAAAAATATTCTTAGTTATGAGAAAGGAAGCAGCCTCTAATTGTCTAAGCATGAAAATGCAACTTCAGCTTTAGCTCTTTTTCAAACTATGAATTCCTCATTAAACAAAAATCTTTAATTTGAAGAATTAGACTAAGTTTTCAATTTGGCTTTGTTTTAGAAAACTGTTCACAGGATGTTGTGGTTTCATGGAGATACTAGTGGGGAGGGTGGTGTTTGGTTTTGGGTTTTTTGTTTGTTCCGTTTTTAGAAAACTAAAATGCATCAGAGTCGACTTCACCAACATTCTCAAGTCACTAATGTGGTGAATAATTATTTTTAACAAGCTTTGCAACTTTAAGGGTAGCTACAACAATGTTCAAATGTCCCCTTAGCCCATTTCCTTAAGAAACTGTTCATTTCTCTGACCCCTCCCCAGATAGCTTAATGAGTTCACTAGACAAATACAAACAAATCTGATACAGAAGAGGTCTGAAAGGTACAGACACAGATTAAAGAACTACACAGCTTGCAGCCCAGAAGCCATGACTCCTGAACCTGGTGCACTGGCAGCAGATGGGGCAGCCAGGAGGTCCCTGCTGGGACCACCCAGCTGAGAGGTAGCTTCTGCATGTCCAGACTGCCAGTGGAGGAGAAGCGGCAAGGGCTGGCAGGAACTGCAGGGTGGAGAGGGATTAACAGCAAGAGGCAGCTGGGGAGAGGGGCTGTGAGGGGTAACTGCTGGTGTTCTGATAACACATTATTCAGAACACTGCATGTGAACAACCATAAAATGAAAAACTGAATGACAGTAAAGCCTACTGAAATGCTCATGTTCCACCTTAAATGACGTTTTGTCATTCTTTTTTGTTGTTTTGTTTTTAGAAGTGTGAAAAATGTTCGGAATTTGAAAAAATGATCCACCATACTTCAGTCCACATCATCTACCCTGATGCTAGGCGGAAGAAAATTAAAAGCATCATCCCAGAATATAAGAAAAAAATCTGGAAAAGATACTGGTAATCTATCTAAAAATTAAACATTCTGCTCTTAGGTGCAAACTAAAAATGAACTGGTATATTACATAGGCTAATTAATTAGGTGATTACAGTACCTGAATTATTTTATCCCCAGGCTGCAGCAACTTAGATGCCGGTCCGTCTGGCTGCACTCTCGTTACAAATATTCCCTTGAAAAATAGAGGTGGAAAACATTTTGACAGCTTATTTATGAATAGCAGGACTAGCATCAAACAGATGTAATTAAAAACATTTTTTCAATTTTTCATCCTAAGTAGGAGAGAATGCAATTTTATTCTACAGGTCTACTGTCTTTTGAGACTGCCTTCCTTTTCTGATTTTAAATCCAGGAGAATTATCTTTAAAGGGGTACTGAGGGGCAAATTTTGATTTGCTTTGGCTCAATTTGGCAGATGTATATGTCAAAATGTATATGTCAGATGTATATGTCAAAATTAATTATCAACTACCAGAAATAAAGCTGTAGGCTGTGGTCTCTTTTTTATTAAGGATTCATAATTGTACCCTATTTTTTAATAGGATTCATAATTGTAATTTCATTAAAAAATTCATAATTTTTTAATAGGATTCATAATGCACTATCTCAAATCTGTTGAGTGATTACGAGAACTGTGTAAGAACTACTCTGCTAGAATAATCCTCTGTGTTGTCATGTGACCTCTGTGGTCACTTACAACCTTGACTTTCCATATCATTTGTCCCCATTTTTCTCCCTTCCAGTCCTGGAGGTTAGTGGTTTGGGAAATACATATACTTCCTTTTCTCCCTTTGCTAAACATAAGAAACATTATAAATCAGAATGCTTTTTAAAAGCATTAGTATAAAATACTTACATCATCATCTGGTCTGAATGGATTCCCTCTACCACCAACTCCTCCTGATATACTAAATCCAAGTTCTGGATCCTTGTCAATTCTCACTCGAATCTAAGTAGTTACAACTAAAGTTAGATAAACTGGCTGAAAATATGCATTCAGAGCTACTATCATGAAATTATTACTACGAATTCAGGTGAACAAAAGCTTTACAAAGCAAAAAAAAAACCAACCCACCAGTTCAAGAGAGTATTATATCTCATTATTTTACTGCAGAACAAGATTACAATACAGCAGCATCATGTGCCTAAGTTTTACTCCAATATCACTATTATTATAATCATAATTCATATGGGCTTAAAATTCAAATATATTTTGATATTATGTAAATTATTTTAATGCCCCTAGCAAATATATATGCTCCTATGAAAGAACCTATTCCTCATATTTCTTTGCTACCTTAGCTGAATTTTAAAAATCAAATCTCATTCCTACTTTCACTCTAAGTTCTAAGTAGCCAACACTGTCTTCTCTCTTGCTAGAAGAGTTGACTAGAAAACTTACTTTACACAGTAAGTGGACATTCTCATTCTAGCACAGAATTTAAATGTAGTTCTCAGTATTTTCTCAGAAGACCCAAAACAATACAGAAAGAAGGCTGCAACAATGAAAGAGCCATTAAATGGTACAAGAATTTCTTATATGTTCTACATCTGTCTATCATAATAAAACTGATAATTACCAGGCATGCATAAGATTGCTCACACTTTTTTTTAGAGACTTCTGTTTGTGAATGCACATTTCTACATTTGCAGGGTTTTGAACCATTCCAGATGCAAAGTGCTCCAAGTTGTACAGCTACTTTGTATTTTTTCAGTTACTAGCTAAATAATGAGTTAGGGAACAATAAATATAGTTGAGAAATAAATTTCCAGCTCAGTAAAAAGACGTAAGTTTAAGTTTCTGGTACATTCTGTTAAAAATCTACCACATTTCTCTCAAAACTGGAAGGAACATGTGATTTGAGTAGAATTTCACTGCGATAACATTGTCTTCTGCTGGAGATAAATGCCTATATGATTTCTGTCACTATTTACAGAGAAACTGTAATACATGAAAACAATGTAACAATTCACTGCCATTTACTGACAGATGTCATATCATACTAGGTTTTATTCTTACCTCTTGCTTTGCCAACTCATGGCTTTGTCTGGGAGAACACTGGGACTGGGTATAGGGAGGTTGGTGGGCAACTTTCAACATCAGATAATCAATTAATTGCTCTCTAGATGGATGTCTTGCTACTGATGATTGAGGAGGGAGATGATGGACTTGGCTGTAGTTTGCCTGAAGTCTTTGAGGCTGGCACATTTGTCCATTTGTCAAAGGCATCTGAATAACATATGAATTCTCAGTGTCACACATTTAATAAACAGCCATCTTCAATTCCTTGACTGTTCTTAGTTTTTAGTAACATTACTAAAACTACTCTTCTGGATCACATATAATTATACTCCATTTTCTTCAAAGTTATAAGCTCTGACATACTGAGAACAAATATGAAAAACAAAAACTTTCTTTGAATGCTAATCTACTAGAACAGACTAGACAACCTTTGCTTTTAGCACTTGTTTCACTGAGTTTTCCCAAACATTATTTTCTAGCAGTGCAACTAACAGTATTGACACTTGGTTAGTATCATTATAGTTTGCACTTTCCTTGCATAAAACTCAGAGGTTTTGTAATGATTTCCAGTAGATCATACAAAAATAAAAATCCGCCCTAGCTACCAGACCAGACAGAAACTATATGCTCTCCAAGCATCCTAAGGTGACCACAAGAAAACCTTCTGAGCAAGTTCACATCCATGCTCAAGATTTTACTATCAAAATTGCAGTATTTCCAACTGATGTTATTCCTCTGTTAACATATGTCACTGATTTGATAATGGTGACAAGCAGCAGTAAGGTACACAACTGTCAAGATATACAGTGCATTCAAACTATGTCACCAGGAATGATGCTGAAGGTGACAATGTTTCTTACGAAGTCTCGGAGTTACTGCTCAGCTCTGCAGCTCTGTGTTGAGATGGGCAGTCTTTTCCCTCCTTGCCCATATGCCTCATGTTCTTATCCACCCTAATTAGTCACTCATTTGTCTGTATGATTCCAAAAATGCTACAGGCTTGAGTTACAGATTTTTTTTCTGCCTGCCACCATTATCCCATTAGTTATGGGATACAAGGATATTAAAATACTCCCTCTCTCAATATTATAAATCACTGAAGTGTGCAAACTTCAACCTTTAACCATGCTATGTGAATGGACACATATCAGAATCCGTTCTGAGTCTATGTCAAACTGATTCTGAGAAAGGATAATGTATTTAATACATTTTAGCTTATTTATAGATCAGATGTATTTAATTTACACGATTTTCCACTGCCTTTTCTGAAAACCTGAAGTATGAAGGAAAACTACTTTTTATTGCAATGCCAGAGGTAGAGTTTACATAGGCAAAATATATCCACATGCAAATTCCCAATATCCAGTGTCTGTAGAAATGCAACTGAAATTATTGAAGTTATAAGAATAAAATCAATTGCTGCATCATAACAATTTACAAGCATCCATTTAGTTTCATTGTAGTAAGTCCCACCTCTATCGATAGTGCTTAAGAGATGAATGCAGTGCCCCCTACAAATTCTGGTTTATCATCACAATTTCATCACATTTTTCAAGTTTGTTCTTTCAAAGGTTTAATCAGATTCAGATTGCTTTTCTGAAATCATCTGCCATATTCCAATTTCCACTTGCAAGTACTTGTTTGGCTGCAGATTTTTTCTTTCAAAGCACCTACTGAAGAAAACTAAGAACTCTCTCCCTTGATATAGTTAACTAAGTTTTGTCTTCCAAAAAGAGGATGCTATTTCATTTATACCAGCTTCGAAGCCTGCGTATTATATTTTAAAGAAGCCCTAGCTCCAACTGCTATCCCAACATAAATTGGTACTATTAATAAAAAATACACCCTTACAAATAATAGTAAATAATATCCTATCCATGGTGTCATGCACATAATTACCTGCACAGCTATTTTCTTCATGCTGTCTGGAGGAACATCTTTGAGACTAAGTGTGGCAGATGAGTAATTCTGCTGTCCTGAAATGAATACTTCATCCTGGCATTGGTCTCCTGGAGTAGACGCCTGAGGATGCTTTAAGCAGAATGGAGCAGTAAAGACAGCTGTCTTCATATAATTCAAATTAAAACATTCTGATAAAATATGTTAAGGGCTTTATCATTCTTTATCTTCTTTTATTAACTAGTAGAAAATCTCACTAGCCAAGCCACCATAAACCCATAAAACACTGATGAATATTTACGAAAACTCTCAACTGCAGAGGTGTCTTTAATCACCAGTAAGCTGATGAGACAAGTCAACAAATGCTAGGGACTAACTTATTCAAGGATTAAACTTCTGTTGACTTTATCCTGCTCACTATGGATACCATAACATCACTCAGGATGCTAAGAGTTAAAAACTCATTTCCTCACATTTTCTTAGAATTTACTAATAATTTTCTTGAAGGCCCACAGTAACTTACAGTTCAGTTCATATTGTCAAAATTTGATTTGAGGGAGGAAAAAGTATTGTAAGATTTTGTTCAAACCTTTATCAACCTAGATTAAATTCAGGATGGTAATCTCTTATTCACAAAGGTACAACAAAACCAGACAATGTGTTCCATCTACAAAAGCCAATTAAAAAACTCAACTTCATGACATTAAATTGAAAGCCTTGCAGTAAGTTTAAGGCATATAAAGTGAAGGCAAAGTATTTAATGCCTAAAAAAAAATTCCAGCACATAAATTATATTCTTTTTATTACAGCATTGTGCATATGTAAAAGGATAACTCTATGAACTTAAGGACCACCTCAGTGTTTATTCTTTCCCCCTCTACATATTGCAATAACCTCCTGTAGGTACTCACTCGAACAATGTGCACACCAGAACCTCTTCCGTCTGCAACACTCAAGGCAACACTACCCTGGCTGCCATGCAGATCCCTAGAGCTGCCATAGTGAAAGCTGCTAACTGCAGCATAATTGGAATTAAAGGACCGAGACAGCATGCTCTGAATAAAAAGGGGACAGATTTAACACAGAGATTAGTGCAGCATGCATAAACCACAAAGACATGTTATACATGTAATACAAACGTATTCCATTGTCATGCAAGATAAAAACCATGCAAGAACAGTACATCTGCGATGTAGAAAACACAACTTAGTGACCCTATTTACCCTTATTTACTGTAAATCAGCGTGCAATCAGCAGTTAACATGCAGAATTACATGTAAATAAAGTCATTCAAATATTCACATGTCTGAAAAAAACAACAAAGGTGCTCATCAATATTTTCAGGTTTTCGATAAATTTGCAACATATCCAATATGTTGTAAGAAGAGAAGTTGGCAGTCAAGAAAAACACCTATGGAAAACCAGTTATTATTTTGTCTCATCCCCCCACATACGCTACTGGTAAAGTACAAATAAAAATTTACGCAGAGATTTGACTGACTGGATTTTCTTGCTATAGCCACCCTGTCAACATCAGCAATTCCAGTAACACTTCATTCAAGAATGGGAACAAGC